CCTCGGGCTCCTTCGGGAGGACCTCGGGAGAACCTCGGGTTCCTTCGGGAGGACCTAGGGGGGGGTCACGTGATGATGACGTCATCAATGATGATGACGATGACAATGACGTCATCAGTGACGTCACTGATGACGTCATCAGTCATGATGACGATGGCGATGCGGATGTCAATGACGTAATCGGCATCCGCATCGTCATCGTCATCATCACTGATGACGTCATCGTCACGTGAACCCCAGGTCACGTGACCCCCCCCTTCCGAGGTCAACTGATCCCCCCCAGTACCCTTCCCTGCTCCTCCTCAAGAGCTGCGCTCAAATTCGGCGTTACAGGGAGTTGTAAACGGCTTTCATTTTTAGAGCGCAGCTCTTAGGGGCCCGTTTCCGGCTTGAGCGGCGTCGCCGTCGGCGTCGCCGTCGGCGTCGCCGTCGCCGTCGCCGTCGCCGTCGGCGTCGGCGTCGGCGTCGGCGTAACCGCGCGGTGCATTATGGGTAAATTTCCCCGCCAAATCTAGCGGAAAAATTTCCCCGCTAGATTTAGCGGAAAAATTTCCCCGCTAAATGTAGCGGAAAAAATTTCCCCGCTAAATCTAGCGGGGAAATTTTTCCGCTAGATTTGGCGGGGAAATTTACCCATAATGCACCGCGCGGTTACGCCGACGCCGACGCAGACGCCGACGGCGACGCCGACGGCGACGCCGCTCAAGCCGGAAACGGGCCCCTAAGAGCGCCGTCGGCGACGCCGCTCAAGCCGGAAACGGGCCCCTAAGAGCTGCGCTCTCCCCGTGCGTCCCCGTGCGTCCCCGTGTGTCCGTCCCCGTGCGGGTCCCTATCATTTCGTCGAAACTCGTTTCGTGGAATTACGTTTCGTGGACAACTTTTCGTCGACACACGTTTCATGGACACACGTTTCGTCGACAATGTGACGTTTCGTCGACAATCGTTTCGTCGACAGCACCACCGTAAAACGTTTCGTCGACAATTTTTTTAATTTAAATTATATGTTGTTTTGTGATTTTGCGGCGTTTAAGAGAGATGAGGACTTATAAAAGGAAGCTTGGTGCACGGCCGGATCGAGATTAAATTCAAGAAACGTTGAATAGCGCCTTTCAGTTGGTCCATTCAAAGAAATTGTCATTAAGGGCAGCATCTCAAAGGTTCGTGAGTACTATTAAAACATCTTTCTTTTTCTTGTTTTTAGGTCCTTCTACGCATTATCGCTACCTATGTCTTTTGTGTTTTGTTTTTTTTTTTGTTTTTTTTCCTCTTAGGTTTAATATTTATCGGAACACCTTGTGGTTGAAGACCAAACAGGCTCGGGGTTTAGTCGATTGAACGGCTCAAAACGTTGGTCGTCAACCTGTTTTTTACAGAAGAGAAGGAGAAGAGGTTGATTGCTCACGCAATCGCAATGTCTTCATTTGACTTCCCAATGACAAAGCTTGACTTGCGTTGTGTGTTGAAGGCGTATCTCGACCGAACGGGAAGAAAAGTGTCTGCTTTCATAGATGGCAACTTTCCCGGTATGGAGTGGGCAAACTCTTTCATGAAACGTCACAAGGATATCCTCTCTGAACGCGTGTTAAAAAAACATCACATATGCAAGGGCTTCAACGGATGCAGAAGTGATTGACACGTTTTTTGGCCATCTGGAAAAAGAGCTAGATGGTATTCGGGACGAAAACATTTGGAACTACGACGAAACAAATGTACAGGATGATCCAGGGAGCAAAAAAAGTGATAACTAGAAGAGGAGCTACGTAACCAGAAAAAATTCAAAACGCATAAAAATCTCGTACTTCGATTATGGTTTGTGGAAGTGCTGCGGGAGAGTTGGCTCCGCTTTACGTCAATTACGAAGCAGAAAAGCCTTGGGCAACATGGACAGAACATGAACCAGAGGGGGCCCGTGTAATCGAACGAAATCAGGTTGGTTTGATCACCAAGTTTTCGAAGACCGGTTCATGTCACTTATGCTCCCCATATTAAAAAAACAAGATGGTCCAAAAGCTCTCATCGGGGACGATTTGAGTTCCCACATTAGCCTCGAACTGCTTCGTCTGTGCGAAGACAATAATGTAAAGTTCATCGCGCTCCCACCGAATGCGACTCATCTACTGCATCCTCACGAATTTGCCGTTCTTTGTAGCCTGAAAATAATTTGGCGTTCACTTTTGGCGGAATGGAAAGAGTCAACCTCTGCAAACCGCTGCACATCTGTGCCAAATGACGAATTGCCCGGTCTGCTAAAAAAAAATGACGATCAAATTGGAGGAAAGTATCAAAACAAGCCTGAAGTTTGGATTCCGGAAGACCGGGATTTTCCCCCTGGACAAGACCGAGGTTCTCCAAAGGCTTCCTAAACCAGTCCTTGACGAAAGCTTGAAATCCACGACAGACGTCGTAGGGGATGGCTTCTTGGAGGAATTAAATAAAAAAATAAAAAAGAGGTGACTGGAAAGCGGGCCACCAAGAGGAGGAAGATGTTCAACGTCCCAGCGGGTAAAAGCATATCGGTTGCCGAAGTAGAAGAAGCCAGCAGGACGGGAAAACTGACAACCGGAAAGAAAGGCAGCTCTTCCTCCAGTATCAGAGCTAGACGACCTAAGAAGAGGCATTCTCTTGAGGACGACATCGCAGAAGAAAGCAGTGACAGCGAATCGTCTTCAGATGGTCAGCACGGTGACAACAAAAGGTGGTCGGAAGAAGCTACAAGTGACTCCAAGGTAATCTCTGGAAGTCTTGACAACCTATCGGAAACGCACACCTCCTACCACTTCTGTGATTCCAAATACTAGCAACGTCCCGAAGGTCCGCGGTACAGGTTCCGGAGAAGGCACCTTCAAGGGGATTGTAGTAAACTTCGAAGGACAACTTTTCCCGGGAAGAGTGAGGGATGTCAAACCTGAGGGGTACATCGTCAGAACTATGGAGGGGACCAAAAAGAATTGGAGATGGCTGGACCGCGAAGACGCTATTTTGTACTCAAAAGAAGAAATATTGTACACAATTGAATCCCCTTAGCCGGTAGGCAAGCGAGGCATCTTTGAGGTAAAAGATCTTGATTGAGGAGGTACTTGTATGAATAATTTGTGGTACAATTGTAACATTCCCAGAGCCTAAACCAATTGTAGTTAACGCAAATAAACTTTTGATGGGGTAACTTTATGCCAGCCCTTTTTTTCCCAATCATATTCAGCCAAAAACAACGTTTTCACAAAGTTGCCCCACACGACGGGGAAAAATTTGTGACAGCTTTTAACCTAAATATAGCCGTTTGTATTAAAGATGTTGATTTGTAAAACATACCGTCGTGTGAGGGAAGGTTTTAGCAACGTTAGGCCACTATTCATTTGCGTTTCTGTTGATAATTGTTCAGCGAGAGAATGAAAACGTACGAAATCTGTCACAAAGTAACCCCATTTACGGTATTTACAAATATGTATTTAATATACAAGCGTTGTTTGTGTGAGTATGTGTGTGCAATCATTTACCCACTCACATACACAAGCACCCAGAGAAAGAAAGAGAAAGAGAGAGAGATCCGGAAAGTGCTGATGTTAGGTCGTCGTACGCCAGTGTCATACCGCATCGCTCGTGTAGAGCTAGGGCAAAGAGACTGTTGGAGTTCATCGGTCATACCCGCTCTCAGAAGAGGAGAAAGCTGCTCCTCAAGGTTCATTCATAGTGGCCACTGAAGGAGAAGCCGAGTTGGTCCTAAAACGTTGCCTCCCCCCCACCCCCCACCCCCACGCACACAGACACACACATTTAGGGGTTCGTTGGTACCCAAGCAGCGCATTTTTTCTGGTTCCAATTTTTGTCGTCCGGCTGTTTGAGGGCCGTGAATGCCCCCCTCAAAAAAAAAGGTATAACAAAAAGTAAGGGCGCAAACGAGCTGGTGTACATTGCACATGGTTGAAAAAAACCCGAGACTGCGGGTAAACGACACAACACTAAAAAGTCTCCAAGAGACTTTTTAGTGTTGTTTCGTTTACCCGCAATCTCGGGGTTTTTTCAATCATGTATAACAAAGCTTTATATTCTTTAACAAAGTCTGGATAATTTAGCGCTAAATTGCCAAGCAAATGCCAAAATTAGGCTTACCTGCCCGAGTGTTTGGTTATCCCATGGCTGCTTTGGGCCTGAGTTCCCGAAGAAATGCCACAATTAGGATTCACTTCTGGTTGTTTGGTTTTCACTCGGTAACTTTGGGCTTAAATTGCCAAACAATTGTAAGAACTAGGCTTCACTGCTAGTTTCCAAATCCTACCCCTAAAAAACTGATTTTATTTAAAAAAAATAACAATACCTTCGTCGCAGTACTTTTAAATTTAAACTCTCAACAATATCATTAAAAACGAAAATTTGCTTGAATGGTGTAATCGCATCGCCCCCATGCTGTATTTTTCTAAACTAATCTTTTCGGTCTGTCTAGAGTTATTTTTCTTTTCATTTGTGTTCATGGCAGCCACCTGCAATCAGAACTTTTGTACAAGACGCCACGCCTGTTCTCGCGACGCCCTGAACTTCTAAGAACTTTACACCTAATGCCCCCGAAAGCTAACATAACTTTGACACAATAAGTGGTAAAAATGTCAACGGGGAGGGGGGGCACGACAAGAATTTTGTAAAAAGCAGAGCTCGACTCTTGTTTTGAGCCTAACTTCCGTTCTCGCCAGATCAACTGTCTTTTTAGTGCGTCTAATCTAGCGAGGATATTTCTGTCCCTTATCGAAATGAACACGCCAAGGTCACATATTCTCGATTTCATGCGGAGGACGACTATCGGTACAACCACAAGGCGTTCAATTAGCGTAGAGAGGAAAACAACTGACGGGAAGTTCGCCAGCTTTATCTTGTACTGCAAAAAATAAACTGTCTAAGGACCTATTCTCCTTCTGCACCCGTAATCGAATTGCTTCTAACTGGCACAACGGAGCCAAAGGCTCTTATTGACATCCCTTTAGAAGAAAACGTCGTCTGCCACCGAAGCTAACCACCCTCGCAACTCCCTCTCCACGCGGGACGGCTATAAAATTTAACAGAGCATTTCTTTTCAAGTCGCTCGATCTCTGCCCTCTGCGAAGTTCTAATTAACGCTGTTTATTTGTGTTGTGAAGACTTGGTTCATTTTATCGTCACGATGAGGATCGCTTGCGTTTTGATGGGACTCGCGGTCCTGGTTGCCCTTGTCGAATCTTCACCTCTCAAACGTCGATCGTTGTCACAAGAGGCCCAGTTTCGTAATGCAATCGGTAAGGTTCTTCAAACATTCCGTGCCCCGCAAACTTCTACAAGCTTGAACAGAAATATACCGGATGGCCTAGGGTTCAGGACCGAGGCTCGAGTCTAGCCGGTCATTATCTTTCTTTGTTAATCCTTCCTGCTTCTGGAAAGTACTATATTTTGTTTAACCTTACAATGAACCGCAGCAGACGTTACGAGCCATTATAGGGCCAATCCAATGCCGCACGAGTGTCACGTGACATTCGAATGGAGAGCATCAACGCGCAAGGAGCGTAGTCACGTGATGTTTCATAGCGCTGAATTGGCTGGGGTGGCTCGTAGCGTCTGCGTTCAATGGAGGCTCAGCAACGTTCTCCCTACTGAATGTCACAAAACTCAGAGTACCATTGAAACCCTCGAGTCCATCTTTGAAGTATGGCGGCAAAAAGGTAGTCCATATCATAAAAAATGACGCGCTATGAACGCTGCGTTGAAGGCTGATTAGACTCACTCAAAGAGTAAAATATAAATGTGAACAGAAGGAAAAAAGGAACTGTGGTGGACTCAAAAACAATTAGCGTGCGCGCACACTTGATTGGGACGCTTTATGAACATCAATGTTTGAATATCAGCGTGTGTTTTTTTCCACCTTTCTTAACTCAAACCTTTGAGTTTTTGCGGGTAAGTCATTTGTCTCAAAACAAGCGGACGTTCCTTTGTCACATGAGGGCATTGAGTGTAATATGCTACTGAAGTTAAATCATTCCAGCATTTCTCGATTAAAAAAAAAAAAAAAAAATTGCCGAAACGTCTGGATGATCATTTCGGGCTGTTCGGGAAAAGTTGAAAATATTTTCATTGAGTTTTACGTTTATCAATGTTTGGGGGCTACTATCTTCCTAGAGAACTGTGCACAGGCTTCGTATAGTATTCTTTGCGTTTATTTTAATCACTATTAAATTAGCATACTTCTGGAATACGTACCTTGTCGTTTCAGCAAAATGTCTTTTTGTCTTTTAAATTAGGGTGAACACATATGATTTTATTTTAGGTGAATGCATGACTCAGACGTTTCACTCTGGAAAACAAATTAGCTTCACATGATCCCCAAAGACAAAAGGAATCTTTATACTCATTGATATATGTGTCTGTATATGTAATTGTTGAGATCTCTATGCTTTCACAGAACAAACCTGCGCTCAGGGCCTCAACCTTTCGGCCGAAGAAACTGCCACGGTAATGTTTTAGTAACTCGTTGAATCAATTTCGACTTAAGAGTAAATTCCTAACAAAATGCCCTAATAACCAAATTTGCATTTCAGATGGAAAGAGTTCAGGAACTGCAGAAGAGCGGCCAGATTCGTATCGTAAGTTGAACTCCCGACTAATAGAGTCGAGTTGAGTGTAGCAGGATACATTCTGATGCGAACTTATTTCATTTCTGTAGATTTTTTACATGAATTTTTGTACTTTCCAATAGATACAAAAACCGCTCTACAAGACGCGAAAAAACGTGTATCTTGTATACAATTATCTTGTCTGCCTCTAGATTATTTCTATAGAGTGAAACCGTTTAAGAGAAACTCGTGACTATTTTAATGTTGTAAGTACAAACTACCGAAGAAAGTGTGGTCACAACTGAAGTTTCGAACAAGCTAAATTTAAATCAAACAGTATATATATATAGATTACATAGAAGAATTGTACGTTTTCTTGGATGCGGTCGAGCATTGTCAAGGAAGACTCCCATAATACAAAGCTCAGCATACACTGAGAGGCTGATTGCTCTAAATATGCTGGACAATTCAGCATCCGGACACTTCGTTCGCGCTACTGACTTATCTAAACCTATGAATTCTCGGGAAAAAACAAGCATAAAGACAGAGAACTACGCGGAACAGGAATAGTGTCTTAAAGTTATGATGCTTACTTTTTATATTCTTATTTCAGGACAGCCAAGATGACGTTGACCGAATTATCGTAAGTCGCGCATATTTTTCATATATCCTCCTTTGGTCTCGGAAGCTTCATCTTGAAATTCTAATTAACGCAGCACGCGTTCCCGTAGAACTTGAAGTAGTAAATTTAGGACTCTCAAATTTATGTAGAACTTCTCAAAATATGAGAGAGCACATTAGAAAGGTTGTTTTAGACAACGCGCAATAGATCTATGGCACTTGCCTGTTACGAAACTAAAGGAACCACTTCTTGCTATAGACTCGCTGTAAGCAGTAAAGTGTACCGTAGCAATAGGATAAAATTCTAATGCAATTCGTGGGTAAGTGATGCTCAAGGTATACCTTAATTCCTACTTCTTCTTTTTTTTCCGCAAAATAGTTCCAATATAAAGGCTGCGAAAATTACAAGAAGCTTTAATTGATTTCAGAAAATCACTCAAATAACTTTTCTTTTTAAGTTGGTTGTTGTTTTATTTTTTTCGGTGACTCTATAAGTTAATGTATGTGCATTTGCCCGAATATGTGAAAAACAAGCATCAGAGAGTAGCTTTTTTTATTAGTTCAAGGGACGGAGATATATTACCTAAATAAATCACCACCGGAAACGTTATCTCAAAGAAATCGACATGGTTGACTCAAGTTCTTGTATCAACTAATTAATAAGCTTGAAAAGTATACACCTCTGAAATATTTGCTTTTTCTTCAAGATGTACCACTATATTATAGAAGCATGAACTAAGACTAATTCCTTTTCGCTCTCGCAATAACTGTTTTAAGTATTCTTTTCTTCCGAAAACATCAAGAGACTGCAATGACCTTACTATTTGTAACCATCATTGTCAGTATTCCCATTCTATCTTGATTAATTAATCACTTTTGGTAGAGATTTTTGTATTGTTTTATTCTACAACTTATTTGCAAATTCTTCTTATAATTTTGTGTGTCATCGTAATAACTGTAACCCGCTCTTGTTAAAATCGCACCTAGAAACTGCAGTATTTATTAAATATTTCATTTATAGCCAATTAATTTATTATAAAAGGCACGCTATTCATTCTTTTTTTTTTTCTAAGATCGTGTCCTCTTTGATTTGTGAACGTGCAGGATCAGGAAGCTCCCAGCCGAGCCGTCGCCAACTCCCTCAAGCCGAAATTTGCAGCCTTGGTTGTAAGTTGCGCATAGTCTTGCACAGCGTTGTAGGCGTTACCGGAAAAAGTAACCAAATACGTCACATGTTATTTAAAAATAAATGGAACGCGATACCAACCTACGATACTTAAAAATAGAGGCAACGCGTCACCGACTAAAGTGACGCACGTTGCTTTTAGGTTACCCTTTCAATTATTAAATTAAAACATCTTACTCTCTCGACGTTACAAATATGCATAATCGCCATATTTCAAAAAAAAACTTTGTTGTGTTTCTTAAAAGAGAGGTAAAATTTTCAAGGTATGTTGGGATGAGCGCAAGAACTCGTACAACTTGGCGTTATAAAAACACGAAAAAGGTTAGTGTCATTTTTGAAGTCTTGGGAAGAAGATGCAAGGATTTAAGTACGTCACCCGTTACACAAAATAAGTAACGTAAGTACGTTATTCGTTACTAGTGCAAACAATGTAACCCGTTACCGGTAACGCCGTTACTTGTAACACGTTCCCGCCAAAACTGCTCTTGTACGTGCTTTCATCTTCCATGATCGCTGTGTGTTGCAACATCAGATTTCTTAAAGATCGCATGCCGCTTTTCACTGAAAAAAATCAATTGAAACTTAATGTCCCAACATCGTACACCAAACAATCTCTCTCCCGCTATCCGCTTTCAGCATTCCAAATACTTGACACAGTAAGTTAATGTGTACAGCGCGAACAAGGGTATACGTACATACACATTTTTCCTGTTCTCTCGCGTTGACTTCAACCTGATGTCTGTGGGACCGACTGGCACATGCATCCTTGGTGTTTTAAACCACGCGCTTGATATTAGTTCAAGTTTAAACTTCCCTAAATTACCAACAATGTTTGTCGTTTCCCCCTCAAGAAGCTGTTAGAGCAGCTTGAGGAGGACAGAGATTCATATTGCAAGGTGACAACGACAATGGAAAGAACGCAAAGCAACATGAACATTATTCGCTCTGTCGCATTAAAGGGTTTAATTATATTTTGAAGTATCAAATAACTACTAAAACTTAAGTTATTATGAGATGTTGACTCTAATATACTAAAACTTCAAGGATTGTCATAAACTCCATTTATTAAAAAGTGTAAGATGTGTCTCCCATTTTTTTTTTCTGTTTTTACCTTTTCAGGAGTGCATAGTAAATGAATTCAAGAAGATGCTTGGACTCCGCCGCCGTCGTTAACGATCACCACCATCCTGCTACGAGTCGACGACGGCCTTATCACTTCGCAGTTTCACTAGAAATAAACTTTCTGATTTGGCGTACTCGCGCCATTTTGACCCCTTCTTTAATCGTGTGCAAAATATTAAAGCGCTTTTGAAAGCACACTATTTAAAAAAAAAAAAGTACAAACAACATCAAAAATATTTCTTTTGCTCATACCCATGCAAGGAGACATTAATCAATAATAAAAAAATAGAAGTTCGCGAACATTGCACGTGCTTTATTTTTTATATAGGACCCTTTCATTACTATAGTTGGTTACAAGTCAAGAAGATAGCGGCAAATGCCCCTCAAAGGGAATCTTGTATTCCTCCGCGACCAATCGCGTATTGTTGTTTCTGTGACGCCACGACCTGCCCGAACCAATCTTGTTCTGGCGAATTAATATTTTCAACATGGCTGCAGGGCAGGTTTCCTATGACTCCAGTATCTTGCAGCAATTATTCTGTTTTTTAATGCGATTGTTCACTTACCCGAGCATACGTCGCTAAGTCGTAACCGCGTTCACTTTTATTCGCAATAGGTTCTGCGCGACAGCGTGAGAATCCAGCGATAGCATTGCCATCGAAAAGTTGGATCCGGGAGTAAGGCCTAGCATCATACGTCGAACGCTGTCTGATTCTCTGCCTCAGCTTGCGCCTGAACATCGTGACGGCATCGGATTTTCTTCGCAGTGGTTTCCGTGGAGCGACGTTAAAATGCAGCGGTCACCAAACTCTTCTTTATAAGTGTAATGGGATGTGCGGGAGGGGCATAAGCGAACCGCGATCACAGTAAATGTCTTCACTTGATTTCGACCGTATCTCTGCTGGCGTTAATAAATAGTCTGTCTACTGAAATGACGCCTTCGAAGCAGTATGTATTCATCTGTGAAACGTGGCGTCCTTGTCAAGTTTTCGCGTCGAAATCAGCTGCACAGTAATCTATGACTGCGATTATACAAGCGGGTGCACCCTCGTTCGCAATAATGAGCTGTTACATACATGTGGCATACAAATGATAAAGCCAGTGATGCGTATGTTACAAACATTTAATTGATATTGTCTCGGACGTTAAGAGGCTGATGTCTTCTTTTGGAAAAATATCAGAGAATTTGAGGGAAGCAGATTTGGTTCTCTCAAATGCTTCCGAACATTCTGCTTGTTCTCAGAGGCCCTGTCAGTCGTATGTTTATGCTTCGAAACCCGGGTACGTGACGCGTGTACCCCCACTCGCGTCGCGTCGCGGCCTAAGATGTTACCGGTAAACACGCACAAAATTTTCCAATTTACTTTAGAAGGAAAATTTGTCCACAATATTAGATCGCAGCATTGGCTTAATAATTTGTAAAAGATGAAAAGTACGTCAATAAAAATTGATTGCAAGGGCAGCTTCCCACTTCATGAATTGTGACTTCCTTACATTCGAAATTATTATTTAATTCAAAAATTAAAAACATACCGAAACCTCAGATGTCCTGATCTTGGTGCGAATGCAAGTGGCAGAATGATTTGTCTTTATAACAATAAAATCAACAATGTTTGAATCAAGCAACAGCTCAAGCCGCCTAATTACATTTCTGATGTATGTTTATCTCTCCATTATACCAGGCTGTAGCTGCGAACAAGCTCTTCAGAGTCTGCCATCATCTTTCTGGTCTACTTTGGCAAAGACAGACTTGTGTAAAAAACATATTGAACTTCTTGGAGGGAACTTCGCAGTCCTCATTGTCAGAGCTTCCACGGAACCATCGGAAAGAAGGGCCCCTGTCGTTTCATCGACAGATGTTTCATCAACTTTTACGACTCTCGTTTCATCGACACTGATTGTTTCATCGATACTACCACACCATGCTGTGAAGTTTCATCGACACACAAATTGCACGCTGTAGGAACATTTTGTTGTGCGTTTATCACTGGGGCACATGTTAAACTATCCGACCCACCCAGTTCACGACGCTTTGCGGTGACAATCTCCAGCAGTTCATTACAAAAATGTGGACCCACCAAACCCACCTGTGCATGCCGCTTCGCGGCAGCGTGTAAGAGTGGTCCTGCCCCCGTGCATGTACCCGTACCCTTGCTCACCAACAAACGAGCGCACCTCTAACCAAACAAAAATGTTGTCGACGAAACATAGCAAGATATGTCGATGAGCGAGTTTGAGTGTTGATGAAACAATCTGTTGATGAAACGTCGCAGCGTTGATGAAACAAACTGTCCGGGAAAATTCATTTGATGAAATGAGTGGCACCGCACAAAAAGCTTGTTTCCGAGCCGCGTTACTTAAACACTATCGCAGGCATCATTTTTAGATACCCATTGTAGGAATTCGCGTACCGCAGCCGATTCGCCATTTCCCACGTGGTCCGTCAACAACCCGAGTCTAGCCTGGTTCTTTCACGGGAGCGGCATTCCGCTCCCCGTTCATTTGGTTCATAAAACACAACGCTACAAAACAATCAATCTAAACTACGAATACCCGCGACATTACAGAAATATTTACAAACGCAGGTTAAGTTCAAAGCTAAACTCAAAGAGGACCCTCAGGCCTCGTGTCCCGCGATTACCCTAGATCCGGTCGACCCACACTTGCCTGGGCTCGGTAGCGTCCGAAGTTCTAAGAGACTCTTCGCCCCCTGTCTACCGAAACTATCTCGATCGATGGGCGAGGAGGTTTTTCCTCGCCCGCCATGGGGCGCCTGCAACGCCATCCAGTGGCTAGGAGAGTAAGCGGCCAGTCGGGAGCCGAATTCGAGATCCCGATCGACCCCGCGGCGACACGACCATGTGATCATGTCTGAGGCGAGTCAACGGCATAGCTGCCTCGCGGCCGAGATGGCAGAGGGGTTTGATGGGCGCCCTCGTGAATGCACGCTGCGCCATACCATTTCCAGACAAAATGCACTCTAAACAAAAAAGAAAATAAATTTAACGTCCCTCTGCTGCTAAAGTTCACGACCTGGAATTAGATAAGGAGCAGCTGGTTCGTCTCCATCAGGCAAATTTGAAATGGTTCTGGACTGGACAAGATGGACTCGCTATCGGCGTTATTGGTGCAAAATTATGACGTGTACAGCGGGCTCGGGCCTGAGAGCTAAGGGTTAACGTGGCGCTCCCCAAGCCGAGGGGTATGGCGAGTGCACACCGACAGTGGGAAGCAACTACCTACCACCTACCTATCTGATCTCATTGCAAGCCTTAGACCTCAGCCTTCAAATGGCTCTGCATGATTCGTCGTATGGGATAACTTCTTAGCAGTCCATTAGACTGATCCTGCAATTCCGCTCCCACATTACATCCCCAGACCTTCCAGGAGGCGACCCACTTGGTCCGGGTGCAAGAAGGAACCCCAAATCGTGACCTGCACTATATATTTGACATCTGGGTCAGCTGATGGGGGCACTACAGCAGCACCAACGGAAAAGGGGATTACGCCTGTTACAGAACATAGCATCACAAAACCCAGAAATACCTCCATTCATTCTAACCCAATTTCAGAAGCCACCCAAGTACTCAAAAACGACCCTTCAGTACTTCGTAACTCTGTCCTCGGCAACAAGTCTGGCTGCAATCTGTGCATTGGACGATATCAAGCTTGAGTCGAACTGAACTACGCTCCGTTACTGGCATTGGCATTCCCCAGATCTCCGTCCTCTCACCAACCCTCCATCAATGTTGTAGCCGACTTTTCTTCACGTTAAGCAATCGGTGCTGTTTTTACGATATATATCAAGCGAGTACAATTGCACCTGTGAAATTCAGGAAATCTACGCCACACCCCTTCAGACCGCACCTCGGTGCACTGGGCAGCCTGCTCCTCATCCACCACGAGTTGTTAGCCAACCCGCCGATCTGCGACCCTAGAGTCATAATGGCCGTCGACTTCAAGGGAACTTTTGACGTCCCTATTAGGCTTCGAAACGGAGCACTAGCACTGGGATTTTGCTCTCCCCTGTGCTAGCACAAGGTATTGTTATTCCCAGGGTGGCCTCAGTCGCGTGAATGGCCATAGACGTCCCGTTTATGTTTCGAAACAGATCATTAGCAAATAGAGTTAGCTGCGCACAGTGCTGACGCACGTTATTGTTTTTCTCAGAGTGGCCTCGGTCGTGTGAATGGCCACCGACGTCCAGTTTACGCATTGAAACAGATCATTGGCAGCTAGAGTTAGCTGCCCGCAGTGCTGACGCACGTCATTGTTATTATCACAGTGGCCTCGGTCATGAGAATGACCACCGACGTCCAGTTTATGCTTAGAAACAGATCATTGGCCGTTAGAGTTAGCTGCTCACAGTGCTGACACACGTTATTGTTATTCTCAGAGTGGCCTATGTCATGTGAATGGCCACCGACGTCCAGTTTATGCTTCGAAAAAGATCACTGGCAGTAAGAATTAGCTCCTTACACCGCTGACACACGTTATTGTTATTCTCAGAGTGACCTCGGTCATGTGAATGACCACCGACGTCCAGTTTATGCTTCGAAACAAATCATTGGCCGTTAGAGTTAGCTGGTCACAGTGCTGACACACGTTATTGTTATTCTCAGAGTGGCCTCGGTCATGTGATTGGCCACCGACGTCCAGTTTATGCTTCGAAAAAGATCACTGGCAGTAAGAGTTAGCTCCCCACACCACTGACACACGTTATTGTTATTCTCAGAGTGACCTCGGTCATGTGAATGACCACCGACGTCCAGTTTATGCTTCGAAACAAATCATTGGCCGTTAGAGTTAGCTGCTCACAGTGCTGACACACGTTATTGCTATTCTCAGAGTGGCCTCGGTCATGTGATTGGCCACCGACGTCCAGTTTATGCTTCGAAACAAATCATTGGCCGTTAGAGTTAGCTGGTCACAGTGCTGACACGCGTTATTGTTATTCTCAGAGTGGCCTCGGTCATGTGAATGGCCACCGACGTCCAGTTTATGCTTCGAAAAAGATCACTGGCAGTAAGAGTTAGCTCCCCACACCGCTGACACATGTTATTGTTATTCTCACAGTGACCTCGGTCATGAGAATGACCACCGACGTCCAGTTTATGCTTCGAAACAAATCATT